GGAAACATGCGAGCTTATTGGACTAATGTACTATATCTGAGGATGGTTCAAAGAAAATCTGTTTTCTAACATTTCTTTAAAAATGTATTTGAAGTGATGTAAATTGGACTCAGCCAGGCGAAAAGAAATTAACTGGTGGTTCCAACTGGCAGCCCAAGGTTGCACCCACAACTGCATGGAATGCTCCAACAATTGTAAGTCAATGAAGATTCTGAAGTAGTCAATCTATGTAACTTAAAATATAGACAAACATGTAATATAAAGGTGTGGAGGTGATGAGTCATTACAGTGAATAGGTTATGAAGATTATTTGAATAATAAATGTTCAGTTTGAGAATGTATATTGCTGTAGTAACAGTAGCTGGATGGTCAACTTCATTTAGATTATTTACCTTTTGTCAGATATACTGTGTCATTGCATATGACTAAGGCTAAGATTTAATCATGGGTAATTTTAGTAAAAGTCATGGACAGGTCACAGGCAATAAAAAAAAAAAAATTCACGGCCCCATGACCTATCCATCACTTGTACTATATACTCCTGACGAAATCTTGGGTGTTCTGGGGGGGCTCCAGGGTCGCAGCTGCTGCTCTGGAGGGGGGGGGGGTCGCCTGCTGTATGGGGAGAGGGGGACTCTGGGGCACCCGCTGCTCTGGAGGGAGGACTCCAGGGTACCCGCTGGTATGGGGGGCAAGGTGGGGTGCTGGTACTGGGACAGGCCCTGGAGCCCCCGGGCCACTGCTGCTGCAGGGGTGGCCCAGGACCACCTGAGCTGCTCCGGCAGCCCTGGGGTCAGTCATACCTGCCAGCTGCAGAAGTCATGGAGGTCCTGGAAAGTCACAGAGTCCGTGACCTCCATGGCAGACTCACAGACTTACGTATGACTTATTCTGTAATGCGAGTGTGAATTTATACTGTAAACTAAAAGTATTGCTGGAGCAGAAACTTAGGTTGTAGAACTTCAAACCCTTTGTAGTTATTTGAGTAGAGTAATTTGACCTTTTGGAAATAGTGGTGATGGTTAGGCCTACTCTTCATTCTGACGGCTGTTTGGAAGTGTGGAAATATACTTGTTCTTGAAATACAATACTGTGTGGTAAACTTGTATGTCAGTGGTTTTAAACCTTTTCAGATGGCGGCGTGGACCCCACTGAAAACTTTAGACAAGTCTGTGGACCACAAGGTTGGAAACCACTGTTCTGTGGTAACTGCTACCTTTTGTGGACCCCTGAGACATAGTCTGTGGAGCCCCAGGTTAAGAACCATGGTTGTATTTTCATAACACTCAGCCTGCTCTGTGACTTGAGGCAGGAATTAGTGCATTGTCTGCTACCCAAGGGTGTGGGAAGTGATGTTACAGGGATAGGTGCCTTAGAAATCTGTACAGCTAGTACAGTCACACCCTGAAGTTTGTGCTTGCTTTTAATATGTCTCCACTTAATATCTTCAGTGACCAGTCTGATTTTTCTCTAGTTTACAACTCCATTACAGATAGCATGTATTGTGGATCACATGGTTTTTTTTTTTATTGAAGTGATTTGTTCTCCCATCCATTAATGTATGTATTGAGAGAGGGAGACAAGGATATACTTGAGTAGCTCCCAGTAATGCTGGTTGAGACCTACCTGTGTAAATCCTACTCTTCCTTTTACCACAAACTGGAGAATAGTATACAAGCATATTAAACATAACAAAACAAGTGTTTTGAGCTAGTATATCAAACTGTATTAAACGATTTTGTGATTTAACAATGAAACACATGATTTGTTACAGATTTGGAAAGAGAAACAATATCTCTTTTCAGGTCATCTCCCTGCTCTCATTTTGGGTGGCAGCTGCCAACTCAGATCTTATATGCAGGTGAAAGTGGTTGTGGATATTACAGTTTCCGTAGTACTCACCTACTACTTGAATGACTTGCTAGCAGTTGGATATTTCTCGTGCTTGAAAATACTTAATTGTTGTCAAGCAAAATATATGGTATCTTTTTATGCATCTTGTAACATATCGTTCCATTTTTAACCAGTTCTTTCATTAATATTTAAAGATGCTGTCACGGCATCTTGCTTTATACAAAACCTTTTACTCACTATTAAATTGTTTGAAAAAACTTAGAAGGATTAAATTGGGTTGTTCAAATTCTTCTCCACTTTGTCCATTAGTCTGTTTATTGTAGCGTTGATTCTAAGTGCTGCGGTGCTGCTTGATAAACTTTTGAAAACAAGGAAGAATGTGCTTTGAAAATAAGTGCACATAAAAATAAATGGATTGTACAAACAGGTATGAAACCCATCAACCTTGACAGTGTCACTTAACAGATTTATTCAATGACTTGAATTACAAGAATTGTTATTTTAGGGCAGACATTAAGTGTACTTGTGAACTAAAATGCTATCTGTGTATATTCTGTTGTGTAAGTACTTGTTTCTAATCCAGTATTATTGCATTATGTAATTGTTCTCCCTGGGAAATACAGAATGGCATGCATTTTCCACACTACGTAAGTGAAAAAAAACCAACAGCCTTTTTGCACTCAATTGGCATGCTGTATTAACCCCTGCTGTAGCAGAGTCTCATAACCTTCCTGCTATTACACATTCCTCATATTAAGATCTTTAGTGTGCAGAAGATTTGAGCTTTTCTTAGCATATACAAATCTCATGGGTGTTCTGCAGGCTCTTGACTCGAATGATGGCATGGGAAATACTGAGATTTTCTTTCCTTGCTTAAAACTGTGCCATTTGCTGCCAGATAGCTGGGTCTGTGTCTGTGCTGCCTTTAATGCATCTGGTAAAGTTTGAATGAAGATAAGTTGTGTGTGTTTGAATAATTGCATGAAATCTCACAGGCTTCTGTTATAATTGGCACGTTGTTCACTTTTATTGACTATCTTGTTCTCAAGTAGGGAGAGACCAATATGTCATTTATGTTCAAATAAACTAAGAGAAAATCCCAGCTCATGATTAAGTTTATAAAGGGCAAGCCATATCTTGTGCATTGTTTTCGTGGAGGAATGCAGTCTTACTCACAGATAATCTTTTTGTATTTCAACAATATTGGTCTTTCCCTATATTCAGTTTTCATTATGGGATAATTTTAACAGTGGAGAATGTACAGACTGTACTGGAGCACTCTAAAAAAACATACGTACATACATTTAGCCAGCATTTGTGTGTATATGTATGTGTACACATATATATGATGTGAATGATTTAAAGAATGTTCAAAGCTTTTTGAACTGAATAATATTTAGATAGTTACTGTACAATCTAGCTAATTCTTTAAACAGTGAAACTTGTGCTAATAGCTGCTAGAATGCTAATTACCATTGGCTAGTGCGTATTAAAGAGCAGCTGATACCTCAAAAAATTAATGTTCTATTCAGAAATAGTCCTCCTTATATCCCACTTTTGGGGTTGGGTTGTGAGAGTGAAATTACCTGCCTGTGGAATGTTGTTCCCTATAACATATCTTCTTTCTCCAGTGTAGTTCTGAATGTCACAAGTAACACTTATTCCACCACTTTCCTTGAGTCTCTTCCCAAATAAAATCTTTGTAACACAAAAGGCAAGCATGATCTTGGAGTTTGTTTGGTTCAGTCTTCTGCAGTGTCATGAATTATAATTTCCACAGTGAAGAACTGGGATGTCACAAGCAGAGCATTATTAATTGTAAGTGAGGGATTAACAGGAGGTGGAGCAGATAAAGATCCCTAGATATCACAGTCCATTGGTACTTTATAAGTACTCAACTAGATAATGTTCTTAGACAAAGTTCTTGTCTCCATGCAAAAGTCTGCCCTAATAAATAGGGTCAGGAGCATGGGAAAGTGGAAGGACAAAGGAAGGAATATACGAGTGTGCAGAATTGCTTTTAAACAGAATATATCTTTTGCCTCCTACTGTTTTCTAAGAGGTATCAGAGGATCTTTATATATGCATTGCATTTTTTAAACAATAGGGGATATATTATCAGTTTACTGTTGACAGAGATAAAGCCTAGAGCAGGGATGCCAGTCTCATTCTTCCACTTCACGATAGCTGTCATATAGTGATGTTAATTTATATATGCTGAATGGCAGTAGTAGTGATTTTACCACGTTTTAATTCCTTGTAATAACTAGGGTATTCCTAACAATTTAAAAGAAACTCATTTTAGAGTAGCAGCTCAGTGTTCTGTACCTACTTGTAAAGACTGGGGCAGTCTCTTATCATTGCTTCGGCACAGGTGCAGCTCTACCAGTGACCAGCACTGAACTGTGTTACCATGTCAGCTAGACCTACTGTGAATGAGGTTAGACAGCAAGCTGGTAAAACACTGAAAGCCAGCCTGCACTAGAGGTCCCACCATTGCTAGGACTGGTGCAGCTGTATCAGTGCTGAAGTAATGGAGACACCCTCCCCCCAAAAAAATCTTTAGTGTGTATGTAGTCTGGTTTGACAAGAAAGAGCTTCTGATGTTTTTACTATAACAGCAGTAACTTGGCCTTTATATTTGGTTCCATTTTTAGAACTACCTGGGCAGAATTACTTCAGTAAAATAAGTAGTAAGTTTTATACTTCATAGGATTCAGGCAGTATTCACTTTTATCATATAATCATTTTTATTTTATTTGTGTATATTATATGTAAATATTTCCTCAAATTTCCTATTAAGTACAAAACATACATATTTAGATCTCTATACATTCTTTGGACTGAAGACTCAGATAACTCTAGGTGGAACTTCAGATTACTGTGAGCCAAAACCCGATATGGTCTTGTCTGTTATACATATGTCAAGTCTTTCTAGAAACCTTGAGCATAAGTGTTGCTATTGATCTGAAATCAGATAAACTTTAACACAAACCTACAAATGCTAATAGGTGTCGGTTGATCTTTTTTGCTATATTAGTAATATGCTGTCTACTCAGTGCTCTGTTTGACACTTAAAGGCAATTTATCATATTTGCAACTCAGTCAGTCTTCCATGCAGTTCAGTTTTCTCTCTTTTCTGTTAGGCACCACCTGTAATGGCCTATCCTGCTACAACACCAACAGGAATGATGGGATATGGAATGGTTAGTGAAATTTCCTGTTACTTAATTTATTTACATAAACATGGTTTACTTGTTACTTTTATTATGAGTTAACTGCAAACATAAAGCATTCTAGGAGCAATATGTCACTTGGCCTAAACGTTTTAAGTAGGTTTAATATAAATTCCTCTTGTTTGTTCTTCACGAAATCATTTTTCTGCAGGAAAATTAACTATGGCTCTTAAACTCATCTCTACCCGTTTCTTCTTCACCTAGCCCCTGGATGACTTATTCCATACATTTAGTGTGTATTGAATGAAGTAGTCGTCAAGTTACTTGTTCATCTTGCCTTACTTACTAAATTCTCCCTCAGGTTTTCATCTTTCCAGAACTCCCCTTTCGTGTCTCCCCTTTTTAATGTCCTTATTGAGGCAGAAAAGTTTTATTGGATAACTATTAAGGAAATACTTAGAGCTCTATTTCAGGAGACTCAACATCGTGAAGAAAGAAAACTCACGTAGTTGTATGTTGGTCAGATCTTTGTCTCTAGAACTTCACCTCTAGAGTAGCAACACAAATCTATAGAAATCTCGCTCTTCACACACCGTGTAAGACTGATTTGCCATATAATTAATGTTACAAGAAAATCTAATGGTGAAAACATCACAGTAAATTTATTACCGACCCTTAACTTGGATGATTCCCTTTTTGCACCATGCTAGGAGCATTGCTATCACAGTAAGTACTTCCTTGAAATAACAGTAAGAGGTGGAGACTTGCAGCTGTCCAGTTAATCCAGATATGAATGGGACAATTCTGTGTAGATTTTAAGAGGAACGAGTACTCCATTACTTAATAAGGAAAGAGTTACATACACCTGGGCCTGCTCCTGAATGGTGGGGAAAACATCTAAAAATAATTCTTCACCTAAATAATAGAAAAATCTTTCTCACTATTTTTTGTACTACTTAATCAATGATTTTATTTATAAAAATACCATTGTTAATTCAGGTTTAAAGTTTGCTTAGATAATTAACCATTCCTTCTGAATTTAATTCCCTCTGAACCCCACCAAAAGGCACCCATTACCACAGTAGCTAAGTACCAAACACAAGGAAGGATTGCACAGAAAATCCTGCATAGGAACCTACTCTCCACTATTTTATTCAGCTGTTATTACTTGTTTAAAGCTTCCATCACCTCAGCGTGATGTTGTGTAATTGAAGGATTGACTATGTGCAACAGGAGGTTTCCTATTGTGTTCTGAAAACAGTCCAGATTTGTTCAGGATTGCCACAGCTGGGGGTCCTTTTCCAAGAATGATGACCCTGTTAAAACATGCATTAAATGTGGGTAATTGTTGTTGTAAACAAATTACCTAGGATAGAACTTCAGTGCATTTTGAGGTTAATAGTACCAGGTTTTTCCACTAAACAGTGGCTGAACTGTAATGTAAACCTAGACTTCAGTCAGACAAATTGAGAATTAACTCATCTTTATTTTATGTACATATTTCATCAGTTCTTGAAAGTGCAAAACAGCCACAACAATGGCATCTTAAATACCCATGTTGTGAAGGTGACTTCTTCTTTCTAGTACCTCCAACTTAATGGAGAGGGGAGAACGCTGTCAAAGCTTTAGTGTTTGTGGTCAACATGTTTATGGTGCTAGCACAAGTTCTTCATATATTATAAACAGCTGCTTCGATGGCCCAAACGTTTTGGGGGAAGATTACATAGAAACAGCTTCAGCATCTATACTCCAGCACAAACATGTTCTCTAAAGTAAAGGTCTCCAATGTTCATTTTTAGGGACCCTCAGTTAATAGTCCAGTTTCAGAAGTTCTTTCCAGTTGCTAAGAGTCATTCTTCACACATCTCCTCCTGCTCCTTTCCTCCCCCCGCCCTTTTATGTGTTTAATTGTGTTTTGTAATTCTATGCTGTTCTGGATTTTTTTAGCCAACACAGGTGGGAGGTGTACCAGTCATGACACAACCAACCTTAATATACAGCCAACCTATCATGAGACCACCAAATCCTTTTGGCCCCGTTTCAGGAGCACAAGTGAGTAAAAATCCAAAATATTTATATTTACTGATGCAGGAAATTGGTTGATAGCCAGGACACACATAGTTTTGTGTTATTTACACCCTCGCTGTTTGTTGTAACGATGGTTTTGTCCTTTAGTGTGGTGGCATATGGAGTCCATTTCCATTGTGCTATATAGAAAAGGGATTGGGTCTTAGCTGCTTATTCAAACTTGGTGTCAACAAATTCCTGTTCAGCAAAAGTAAAGTAAAAGGATGGCATTCTCAAGGGTCAGTTCCCTTGAGGAGGTGGTGATATCTGTCTTCCCTTTTCTTTAGATGAATGGTGATAGGAACTATTTTTAATCTTACATTTGTGCATCCCCTTCAATCACTAAGCTTGTGTTCCACTGTATCTCACTCTCATATTATTCATTGCAGCTTCTCCTGGAAGCATATCATTATGCAAACTTGTTTCATGCTAGACTCCTGAATTGCACTCCATTGCTACCTCTTGTACTCTTAAACTCATACTTTTCACAAGTAAAATAACCCAAGGCTGGTATAGCATAAGCCTGTTTATTATAGCAGTGTGTGTCAAAATTGCAGATAATTCCAGAGGTCAAATTTGGGCACCCAATGTGGGCTTTGCGAATCTGTGAAAGATTTCAGCATCTTGTGACACAGTGTAGTCCTGACTTTCCAAACTCTAGGAAGCACACTCTCCCCATGCCTCCCAGAGATTATACTGACCCCCTTTTCTGAGTGTGCTGAACGTACCCGCCTGTGTTAACTGCAGAGTTTAAAGCTGGCCAGCACCTCTAAACCAGTCTTGGGCTCAGAGAACTAATGTGCAGATTTTTAAAGCCTGGATGGATCCCCAGTTCTGCCAAACATCGTATCTTTCCAAGTTTTTGTGTGTCCCCTATCACACATGGGGGATAAATTCAGGTTATATTGTATGTACGTATATAAAGGATACTTAATTTGTGTTGGCAGTTTAAAAAAAAAACAAAACTTTTATGTTCAATTTTTAGTAATGGATTGTACCAAACAGGGACAGCCTCTGATTACTCTGTCACACACTGCCTGCTTCTGTACTCCATTGTAGACATCTCAGTGAAAAGGAAGCCAGTGTATTATCCCCTTCAGTGTTCATATTAGCTTGTCTGATGGAAGTCTTGCTTTGAAAAGTGAGTACAGGCAATAAGTATTGGAGTTGGGTTTGTACCTTTTTTCTCCTGATCTATGCCACTTCTTTAGTTCAGTCCAGAGCACTTTTCCATCTTGTAAGAAATCTCATCCTCTTATTCAAGTAAAGATAGAATTTTGAATGAGAGGCTCTAAAAGGAAAAAAATTTCCTGTGCTCTTGTTCCAACCTTTGAGAGGACTTTAAAACAACAGCAGTTGCTTTGGGGAAATCATGTCCACCTCCATAATATTAGAGGACATATAACTTTAGGGATATCTGATCTTCACAGGCTGGTGGGATTAAATACTGAAGCTCTCAATTTTTACATTCCAATTAAATTAGTTTTTGTTGTTGTTAACAAAGTTAGCTTTTTTCTTTTTATCTGAAAGTAGTAGTGATCAGAGGGTGGGGGGGCTATAGCATACTCCTTTTTTGGCAGAGAGCTTTGCCTTTTTACCATTGATCACGATGGGCCACTTAAATATAGATGTACTGTATTATACAACATGGGGTAGTATGTATTGCCACATACAGAGAAATACATGTGTGTGTAAATAAAACGTGCGTATACACGAAGTATCCATATTTTTAAATTAAAGCTATTATATGTCTGTCTGCCACTGTTAATACTGCTGATGCAGTGACTCTACGTGGTTCCCTTGCTCCTTGCGTTTAGGGACGCGGCAGCGGTGCTCATCCAGGAGAAGGGCCTCACATCATATTGCAGTGCTTTGCCCCGCATCCCAGGCTGATCAGAGTAGCCATGTCCACATTCAGCCTCACCTCTTTGAAGTGGGGGCTTCGGGGTAAAAGAAGACATCATGATCTGGGAGGGACACTGGGTCAGATAGAAATGGGGTTTTCAATCTGAAGAAATAATGTTTTCCCTTTCATTGTTTCTTTTGGGCATATAACAGCCCTCTCTGTGTGTAATCACTATTACTGTTCTCCCATCTAGTCAGTCAGCATCCTCAGTTTTGTATGGATCTTCCTTGCAGCATTAAGGATGGAAAGAGATGTTTTTTAAAATAGGAAAATGTGGCTATCAGGGGGCCTCAAAGATACGTGGACTTCATTTTCTACTTCACTAAATTTCAAATTGACTATTCTTTTCAAAACAGAAGCAAACTTTACTACTTGCACATTTATTCTTTCACTTGAATGAATTCAGTTCTAGAGTAAACATGTTTAGATTTATTGTGAATTGTTAAAAGTGCAACCCACCCATTCCCATTGACATTGCAGGTCTTGGGGCTGGATTAAGACCCAGCTGGCTGCCATAAAGTGGGGGAAATGAGAGAATGCAGTTGCAAGTGGGCAGTGTTCTTTATCTGGTGATGTGTAGGTTTCCTTTAACCCTTATATTGGACTACAAATCACCCATCTATTTCTGTATTGGGGTCTTGGAGATCCACAGTATGTCAGAATTGGGGGAAAAGACACATGGATGCATTTAAAACTAACTTAGGTTCAGAAGCACACTATACAGCATTTATGTTGGGTTTAACTGACCCCAGGACGTTTTTGACGTATTGCATTTTTGATGTGTTTTTCTATCTCATTCTCTGGAACAGATGTAACAACTTCCTCGTTTTTCAGTCTCTGGGTCGGTGACCAGCACACTAGACACTTCTTCCCTAGAGCCCTGAGGCAAGGCTGCAATGATCCTCTCCTGCACCAGGGACTTCACCATTTCTGTACCCAGGTCCCTGAGAAACACTTGGGTCTTACTCAAAGATTTGTTATGCCACATGTGATTCAGCAAAATCCAAACTATATGTGCATTCAGACATGCAATGTGCATGTACAATGCAACAGCGAATCTTTGCCCCAGCAACAGCATATGCCAAAAAATGTATTGACAATTTTGGCTTCCCCAGAAAACTCATCTTAGCAAGCATAGGCTTTCCAGAACATCAGTTGGATAGTCTCTTCTGGAGACTCTTGTGATAATACGTGAGGCAAATGTTATCTGGGTTATTGCAGATCCCCAAGACCCTTTCAGTGCATTTTTTGAAAAACAAAAATCACTGAAACTATGGTAAAAACAATGCTGAAAGAGTCATACCCGTGTCATAACTGCTGCCTCAAAATAAAAACAATCTGATGCTGGAATACCTGCGTAATTAATTTGGGGTCTAATTAGGGTGACCAGCTGTTCCGATTTTATAGGGACAGTCCCGACTTTTGGGGCTTTTTTCTTATATAGGCTCCTATTACCCCCCACCCCCGTCCCAATTTTTCACATTTGCTGTCTGGTCACCCTAGGTATAACTGACCCCAATAACCTTTTGAGTGACTTTTTTTGCTATGCTAAAACTACAACAGGTATGCAGCCAAAACCAGTGCTAACCGTTTTCCTCATGGTTTGAGAATGCTGAAAGAAAAGGCACTGGTTTGCCTATCATGTTTTACTTACATTTTGTACATTTGGGGTCCAAGAGATCCCCAAAGACCTTGGAAGTGAAGTACTTTCTTTTCCCCAGTGACTAACACTGAAGGGTCTAACTGACCCCATTACCCTTTTAATTACTTTTTTTTTCAAAAACTTCAGCAGGTAGGATGATAAAACAGGTGCAGAAAGATTGACCTCAGCCTAGTTTGAGAATACTTAATGTGTGAAGAGGCACAGGTTTGGCATGAAAATTATTTACATTTTTGTGTGTGTTGGAGTCATATAGACAAAACATTGGGAGTTGCAGTTCCTTCAGAAACTACTGATTTTACTGGCAACACATCCTTTTGTTAGGCATTTACTTTGCAACCAAGGAGAGTTTGACACTGGCCCAATCACATCTCTTTGCAGTTGCTAAGTTTTAAAATAAGTCTGAGATCAATAAAATCTTAGAAGGAAAACAAAGGCTTGTTGTGGGAGCCTCTTCACCATGCTAAATAGGGACAGTGTTGGCTGTAGATATTTAAATAATTCCTGAGTTGGACTATAATAGTCTGTTACACTAGAAAGATTGTATATTGAGAGTTCCAATGATAATTTCTATATTTGGGCTTAGTTTTCATTAGATTCTTTTTTGGTGAGATGTTGGCAGTGGTCTTGTTAGCTGAGCTGTACAATTTGATTGCTCTGAAGTGAGGTTTGTTGCTTGTTAGCAGTTTATTTTGTTGCAAAATAAGCTGTTGGTTGATTCATAGTAGACCAAAGTCAGTGCCATGAAGGTGATACCTACTGCCTTTGGTCACAAGACGTCTTAGACAAATACCTTGAACACTTTGCTCCCTGCTTTACCTGTCCATTTGTATGTTCGTTTTTCACAACCTTTTCTCTCTTCCTTTTCCCTTAAAGCACACTAATCCAAATATCTATTTTGGCTTTTACCTTCTGTAAAGTACTTGGAAAAGCGCTTCGAAGTAGTCACCATAAGGCCACTCAATGAATTGTTTGGGCAATATGCCTATTTAATTATTGGCCCATTAACAAAAATATTTCATTTTTTAATTAGATAATAGTACTGATCTTACCATTAGATGAAATAGCAAACAAGCAAAATGTTAGGGTTTAGAATTATTTGCTCTTAAAAGTGCCTTCCATAGGGGGGATGGGGCCTATTCTCCCCAAAATACTTTTTTCCCCAGTTTATTTTAGAAAATTATAATTTATATTCTCTGAAAGATTCTGGTGACTGGAGAAGTGATGAAAGTCTGACATCAGTCAAAACAATGGAAGCTGAGTAATTGAGCAAGAAAGTAATTTTTACTTAGACTGTTTTATTTGTTGGTTTTATACCTATTAAACTTCATTGACTAATGAATACATTGGAGCCAGGATATCTTGGTTAAAGATTGAACTCCCTCTTCTCTTGAATTAAGGGGTGAGAAGATTCACTAC